AATATGAACAATAACGCCACTGAAAGAACACTTCGGTGAGCAGATAATTTCATGTTTTGCGGCGGTTGATTGGCCGCCAAGTTCGTGTGATATCCCACCGTTAGACACTTGACTGTGAACATATGTAAAGTCTGAAGTCTATGCGAACAATCTCGCTTCGATTCAGGCCTTGGAGCCAAATTTCACGCTGTCATTCGTCTTCTACCAGATGAAATGCTCTAACGAGTTATCGAAAATTGGACTCAACGTCCATCCGAGACGTAGCTGCGGCCAACATCTGAAGGATATAATCTTCAGCAAATAAATGCCAAAGAATCTTCTTTCGAATGATAATCAAATTTTAGTTTTCTGTGTTTTATTCTTTAAAAAGTAGGGAACCGAAAACAATGGATATCGGAAATTTGTATCATATAGTCTCTCCAACCAAATTTACAGAAATGAGATTTAGATGCAAAACGTCAAAGAATGTAATGCAAAAGATTATGTTCGTATGTAAAAGCTTATGTGTTTCAACACTTCCCTAAAGTGTATTTTAATACCAAACATTTTCATACAACTCACTTTTAACGAGGTAACAGTGGTCTTCGTATCAAAAAAAAAAATTAAATAAAAAAAGAAACAAAAAAGAGAGAGACACCCACACAATACCCACAAATGCACTTGTATTTGTGCAACAAAAATTGTAAAAGTAACAACAACAACGATTTGAGTTGCAACTAACAACATTTCATTGTGGTCTAAAGCTTTTGGCGAACATTTTTACCACATTTCATGCCAACACTTTTCATGTGGATTTGGAAAAAGGGATTTTTTCGGCATTATGCACATTTCCGTGCTCGTGTAAAAATGAAAAAATTAAAAAAAAAAAATAAAAATAGAAAATAGTTTTAGTGCAATGTTTAACACTATCGCAACGATTACGACACCAACATCGTATGTATATACATACATACATGCCTATGTACATAACTTGGCACTGCCTGACTCTGACTCTGACTCTGCTTGACTAAAGTTCCGTATGACGCGTACCTACATACCTATGTAACTACACCGCAAGGTATGTTTGCATTGCATGTCAGCTGAAAAAAGTGGAAGCATATGGTTGGTCGGTTGCTCGGTTGGCCGGCTGCTCTGTTGGTCGGTCGAACGCCCAACTGCTGATGGACAAGGTGACCGGCGTGCAAGCTTAGCGTAGACTACGAGGGAAGCATTTTGTAAAGATGCTATTGTGTAAGTGGGGGTTTTTGAATTTTTTTTTCGCTTTGGTGCCACACGGCGAGGTGCCATATAACGGTATGTATGTAATATAGTAAGTCTATTTTGCATGTAGCATTGGGGCATGTGGCATGTGGCATGCGAAAATCCTCATATCACACCATTTGGATAATTCCGCACGACTGCTTTTACATACATATGTATGTATATATGTATATATGTATATAGGCGTATACTGGTAGTGTTGATTGTTCGAGCTTAAATATTTGTTTTCCAAAAAATTAAGCTTTTCCTGTAAAGGTGCATGTCTACAAAGAAATTTATGTGTTTTTTTTATTCTCTTGGAACATACATACATGCGTACTATATACAAATATTTTATTTATTGAATTTGTTTTATTTTTAATGTATTCCGCAGGTTTCCAAGTCTGGTTTGAATAGTTTAAAAATTAAACAGACAATTTTGAAAGGTCATCGGACGAAAATCGGCCCCAGAAAGGTATCGTGCTCATCATAACAGGAAATTTTGATACTTATTACCATTTTCGAAAAAATCCCAATTTTTCTCAAAATTAAGAAAAAATTCCTTTCCCAGAACCTTTTAAGGTCTAAATTATGGATTTATTCTAGGTAAGAATTGTGGATTTTAGGAAAGAAATTAAGCGCTATTTCGGCTTAAAAGACTTTTCAAAGAAAGTGAAATTACTTTCAAAAATTATCTTAATTTGAATTTTGAAAAATCCCACGATTCTGGCACAATTTTGAAACTAATCTTTCCAATTCCTTATCAAATTTTGGGTATTGTAGAATAAAAAAAAGGGTTTACTTGATTGACAGGTCGGGCTCTTTTTTGGCATTGTAAAAAAGTGTTGGACTGGCAGTTTAAATTACAACTTCCGGAAACTTTCTAGTCTTAATGTATGTATTTGTGTATGAAATTCAAGATTTTAGATTTGAAATCAGCCATATGCCTCAAGAACAGCTTATAAAGTAAACGTATAGAGTCTTCTCTTTCTTAGAATATGTCTGACAATATCGAAATCAGTGGTATACTTCAAGAGTTTTCGTAGTGAATCTATGTATATTTGTCTGTGTCCCTGATAGAGATCTACGAGATCTGGACTGAGCGATTTACTTATTCGAAAAATCTTATCTATAGTGTTTTGTACTTGAAAATACTTTTTTCGAAAGATGGACCGATATATGGGTTTCCTTTTAGGATTAAATGTTTATTCTCATATTTGGAAACAATTTGCTGAAGAAGTTTTCCGATTTCGTTGATTTCTACGTTTATAAAATACTTTGTATGCTTTTTTGACCCAAAACCTTACATCTGATCAGATCAATAATTTACAGCACTAAACTGTTCTTTATAATATTATTGAGGAGAATACCAAATTTCACGCTTTTAGATGATTTTTTGACAAATTTATGATCCAAAATCTCGAATCTGAAAAATCGGTTCAATATAAATGTTCTGGCAGCCCGATCTGACCGGCGCCAACAAATGATCGTTTAAATGTACCATTGAATCTGAGTGCCAAGTCTCAAAGGCTGAGGGGCTAATAAACAAACTGACAGATGAACAAATGGATATGGTGAAATCAAACTCAGCTCGTCATTCTTATTTGATCGCATAGCAAGTTTGATGGGTCTCACTTCTCCCTCTGATATTTGCATACAACGCACCCAGGTTAATATGCCATTTCATGTACACCGAGGTTCGATTGGGTTAAATTTTTGTATAATATGCCTAAATGGAATAATTTTTGAACCCTGTAAATGTACCAGAGATCTGTAACCATGTTCGATTTGCTCGAAATATAAATAATAATTTTTCTAATTTTTCTGTGGCAAAAGTTTTACCGATTGATTGATAAAAATGAGTATGATTTGGATATGAGCATAGATCGTGTGTAGGTCGGTAGGTGTGGTTTTAGACCTATAGTTTTCTTTGACGCAATACTATTTTCGGAGTTGTCCGTTTCGCCAGCTGTAACTTCATTTATACTCAAATTAGTTCGATATTTCAATCATGCAAATTTATTACAAAAAATAATGTTCGGCCGAACGGTTACGTATGATGTTTACTCTAATGGATAATGCGCATCCTCAGGGACGGCGTACAGTGAGCACATAGGACGCTATTGCTACTGTGGAACAGAGCTTCGAAGAAGACTCGTATGAGGACATCCGCCATTGCGCCTTGCCCAACCACTTTATGGAAGATTTTGTAGAAAGATCTTACAAAATTCAACTCGTATAAGAATTGAAGCCGAATAGCAATCAAGTGTGTCTTACGTACGGTGAATGGGCTCAAATCCAGATGGTCACCGAAAGCGATTTTCTCAAAGAGACTTTTGTTCAAAAATGAGGCTCACTTTTGCTTCAATGGGTACGTTAATAAACAAAATTATCGCACTCGGAGTCCCCAAGCAATCGTCGAGACGCCATTACATCCTCAAAAGCTTACTAATTGGCGGGATCTATGGGCATATCAATGATTATCATTCGTGTTTCTTCAGCTATGGAGTCGGCTTGGTATGAAGGTTGTTGATATAGGTGACCTTTAACTTCCACCAGATGACGGCACGTACCATACAGCCAACGAAACAATTGTGTGTCGTGGGCATATGCCGGCGCCTCCAAAACCGTGTGATTCAATACCGCTTGACTAATATTTGTGAGGTTATGTGGAGTCGCTTGTCTACGCAGATAAATCCTGCTGCAAAAAGTGCTCGAAAAGTGGTCCTCTCGGCTCAAATTTGCTAGGATTATTTATTTATCGTTCTTTGCAATAAAAATTGGAATAAAATATGAACGAAGCCACAATAAACTGTGACCGTGTCTGCTATTATTTCTATAAAAATCATAGCATTTGTTCTGGTCTCTCGTTCTGCAACCTAATTGATGCCAACAATTAAAAAATTAACCTGTCTTAGTGATAGAATGTCAGAGTTCTTACAGCAAACGCTGCGTTTCGAAAATAAATTTTCAATATCCGTTTATTAATAACATACATATGTATGTGTTTACGGCACATTGGTAAAACGACTTTATAAAATCAATAAACTTTTTAGAATAATAGAATGGGAAATAACTGTTGTTCGCGTTCTTGTATATACATGATTGCCTTGAAAGACGTTAATAATATTATTATGGATTAGTAATTACAGTTGTATATATGTATGTATGTTTCCATGTGCCACATTTAATATACATATACATACATATATATTTTTCAAAGTATAGTACAAGAATCGATAATTATTTAATTACAAATACACTAAAAGGAACTGTTACAGCTGCGCTTTGTTGTAAATGTTGAAGCCATAAATACATATTTATATAAAAATAAATAAATATATGTTTGTCCATATGCAACACTGTTATTTGTCCGCTTGTGCGGCAATTTTAATTGCAAATAAATATCAACAACAACAACTGCCATACTTTTGCGTAATTATTTTTTCTATTTTCATACATATTTATATGTGTGAATGCATTGTGTGTTAGCCACCACTGTGTTTACGCTTATAAACTCACTCTGGTTAGTGATTTCCTGTTGCCAAGCGCCGTCAGCTGTTTAATGCCATAATTTGTTGTAATTATTAAATGTTGTAACTTACAATATTATATTTTTATAAACTTAATTGTCTTGTGTCTTGTAACATTCACTAACAGTATGTGCGTGTGTGTGTTTGAAAACTGTTTATGTTTTCCTTGTGCCATATTATAATCATTTTTACTAACTTCCTTTTTCCTTTCTCTCTTCTATTTTGCAGTTTACAACAAAAAGTCACGTCAACACACACACACAATCAACGCCGTTTGGTGTCTTTAAGTAAAGGTAAATTGTAATTATTGTTTATATAAAAAAAACACAAGTTAAGGGAAAGGAAAATAAAAAGTTAAATTAAAATTAATTAAAAAATCAATAACATAAAATGAACACCGAGGCAATGCCTTGGTTAATAGAGTGACCTTTTAAACGGCTGGAAACCACAGCCTTTGTTTTTAGCAAAAGCCAAAAAAGTGAGAACTGAGCGCGTTCCCTGATCTCAACGTTGACTTGGCAGCACTTACACATCAGAGCACTTCAAAACGCTCCTAAACTAGATTAATTTGTAGAAAAATATTAAAAATAATTTTTTGCTCCATTTTTCGAAGTAAAAAGCTCAAAATATGTATTATTAGTTAAGGTTGGTTCGAACAACTTCCTAGCTGTGGATGAAATTCTACTACTCTCCAGCTCGATAAAATGTCTTGGAAAAATATTAATATTGAAATTTTACACTGTTTGGAAAAAACGCCTACATTAGGTGCTTTCAAAAAAAAAAAAGAAAAATAATGAGAACTTTCACGTTAAGGGTGGCTATTTTGATAGCCTACTATTCCGGTAGATGTCGCCTTTGAAGCTGTAAATTTTTGTCATTTCACGAGTAAAAACTATGCCACTAATAAAAATGTAATGATACACGTTTCAACAGGGCATTTAAATGATTAAAATTCACTTTAAAAATTTCATCGAAAAATCATCTTAACCGATGAGGCCCATATCCACCTCGTTGGCTACGTCAATAAGCAAACTACCGCATCTGGTGCTCGGATAAGCAAACATTTATTGTGGAAAAACCTCTCCATGCTCAACTGTGTAACTGTTTGAATTGTTCGAAAATGAATGAATTGCGCTATCGAGAGATGATTAATGATTTTTTATGGCCGGAATTTGATGGTATTGATATGGAGATCGCTTATTTTCAACTAGATGGCGCTACATGCCACACAAGCAACGAAACCATAGATCTTTTTAGAGAAAAGTTTCTTGGAATATCAAAATTACATCTTTTCATGGAAAATCTGCTACATGTACTTACATGAACATAAACTTGTTCGAAGTATGTGAGGTAGAAGGAGTAGAGATAGATCCTTCAACAATTTTACCGATCGGATCATAATGACGAGATGAGTTGATTTAATCAGTCCCGTCTGTCTGCCTCTATGTCTGTTTGTACGCAAGCTAGGCCCTTATTTCTGGTGATATTCCAAACGAACTCGGTACACAGATTTAGATGATACACTTAAGCATACATATATACGACAGATTTTTCAGTTTTTAGATTTTCTATCATAAATCCGTCAAAAAACCATGGTCGGATGACTAGTTTATGTAAACCCCAAACATCGATTTTCACGGATATCAGCATTTGAGAGCGGGAAATTTGATATTATACACATGAAAATTCATTCACTTATTATTGGTATTGAAAAAATCGAGTTTTGCGTTTCACAATAAATTTGAAAAGCTCATGAAAGATAAGTGAGGTTATTCTTAGAGCCAGTTGGTTTTGCAGAAGTTTCATTTTAAATCGCCCGACCTTAAAGGCCACGCCATAGGTCCACGACGCGAGGTGATGTGCTCAGTAAACGTCGTTCATCTCAAAATCCTCCAATTCAAACGCGTAAAAGTCATTAATCAAGGCTCTATAGCGTTCGCCTTTGACTGTAATATTATGGACGGTTTTATTTTTGAGTAAATATGCGCAATGATTCCATCTTCCCACCAAATAGTGGCAGGTTTGAGTATCTAACGGCGTCCAAAAATGGCTTGTGAAGGGATTATCATCACACCAAACCCGATAAATTTGTTCACCGAACGTGCGATGCGCTTGCATGAGAGTAAATATGATGCGAGGCCGGACCTTGGTTGCTCGAATTACCAACTTTGCTGGGCGTTATGTCTATGAATATTGGACGTAACTCGTAAGGCGTCATGTGAACCGAACCATTATTTTGGTAAAAACTTGCCTCGATTCGCAAACATGATTCCGGAGTAAGTCTGTTTATTATGAAATGTCGAAGCAAACTGAGTATAAATCAAGATGACGGCTGTCAAAAGGACTAACTCTACTTGTCCTACAAAATTTTTGAAAAGCCAAGAAAGTCGTGTCGGTGAGTCTTCCATCAGTGAAGTGAGCGTTTACGAGCGAAATAAGCGTTGCCATCAAGGCCATTATGGTGTTGATGATGACAAACGCCCGCTGCACGACAACCGATGAAAATTTGGAAAAAGTGAAAGAAATGGCTGGAAAGGATGGCATTGTCAGCAATATCTATGGAGTCAACAGTTATAGAGAAGGATATTTTAAGATTTCTAGAACAAAACAAGTAAAACCTTAAAATTCAGTGCTGAGTTCACCAAGTACCTCCACTTCGACCTTTAATCCCCGGTTGCTAGATCCAGCAACTTGAACTATTTTGAAATAGTAAGCACATTGTCTCTGATAAAGATATATCTCTTCAGCTTAACCGGTTTCAAAACAAATTTGCTGGAACACGAAGTCCTGATCAAGATCAGGTTCAGAAGTTGACTTCCTCGCCACTAACAGTGTAGCGTTAAAATAAGAGGTTTTCCACACATGGGTTATATTCAGGTTCCTATGGTTGGGAGCTTTATGCCAGGTCTGGAATTGGCATCATTTGTGTCTTTTCCAAGACCGTTGTCTCTTGAGAGGAAATGTTTCGTTTCGTTCTTCCTCTGTATGAGGTCATCACTAAAAGTTCTTAGGGTAATTTTTGCTTTTTTTAATTCTTATAGCTCAAGCATTTCAGTTTAAATGCAACAACAACGCTTGACGCAGGCGCACGCATAACGGCAAACTATAAATAAATAAATATAAAACCATTGCACATAATCTGCTTCTGAAGTGCACATACATACATACGAACATATATGAGCCATAAATTTTCTCAAGTGCAAAGCCACAGAGCAAATCAACATAAATAAGCGCGAGGGTTGAGAAATTTTCAGAAAAAAAAGCTTCGACGTTTATGGCAAATACGAAATCTGCATAGTGAATGGCATTCGGTGCCATATATATATATATACATATATAAGCGCATAATGAGCCATGTAATGATATATAATATGTATATATGTACATACATATGCATATTAAACAATAATGAACACTGCAGGCATCACGCAGTGATCATTGTAACGGTAATAAACGGAAATCAATCAAATTGCTGATGCGTTAGCAGCACTTGGGGCATGTCAAATCTCAAATTATTTATTAAAAAAAATATACACCGCATTCAAAAGTGCAGTTATTTTTATCAAGCAGTTTGTGTTGGTGGTCTGTAATGAGTGTATGAGAGTTTTGTACAGTTATTTTGCAGTTATGTGGGATTCTGATGCTCTTAAGCCGGATGGACCATAAAATTAGCAGGGAGAGGGAGAGCAATAGATAAAGAAAAAATAATAAATGACCATACTTGACAACAAGAATAATCTTGTCAGCCTTCAAGTCCAAAGGAGAAATCTGTTGCTACCTTGATCTGAGTGGGCAGAGGGACTTATAGTTAAGTCTCTTGACGTCTTTCGACGAATCGGCATTAAGATTTTTTTTCGGGAGCCTAAGTTTGTCCAAAATTTATGGTCTTTTATGCGGTGTCCGCTAGATAAGAACGAATGTAATGCTAAAACTTTCCAATTTTGAGCTTTTTCAACACAAGACTTGAAAGTTAAAACAGTAATTATTGAATTACAATAATCGTCATAAAGAACAACCGAGTACCTAACGCTCCACACCTTTCAAACTAAGCCTCCTCACTTCCGGTTCTTCCCCATTTTATGTAATTTCCTGTCAACACTCTCCGGCTGACCATACCGCCATTACAATGTTATAAACTATAAATTTAATCAACAACCAGCAAGAAATGCCAGACAACCGAGCTTGATTGCAACATGCATCTGTTGGTTGGGTCACTCGGAGTGCAACAGAGCTATGGTTCTGCAGCACAAAAAGAACCCGCACATTAGTCCACAGAGGCTGATTGCATAAGCTTGAGGAGCTGAACTCAGTTTGAAATGCAACAATTGAAGTCACTTAAGTGCTCCACCACTGGCAGTGAGGCAGCGAGGGTGAACGATGCCACAAAAAATATGCTGAACAGTAGTGCGAGAGAGGGAACGTATACGTATGCACATAAATAAATACGTATATATGTTTATGCGCATAAAAATATATTCTGTGCTGGCTTTCCACAGAATCTGAATGGTGTGACAATGGCGACATTATCTGTCACATAAAACAGATCGCGTAGATCAGAAGCGCGTGGACGTGCGTACAACTTTCCTGTCAGTTTTGCTGTAATTGTGTGCCGTCCAGCGTAAAGCAAGCACAGATATACAGAGTTATGTGTATTTATGATGCATAAGTATATGCGACCATATGTACATGCATGTGCTTGTGTGCGTAATTGGGGAAAAGTAGCGCATCAATGAATATTATTACTCGAAACTCTGGGTAGTGCATGCTTTCTGCTTCTGCGGTCGTTCATCTCCAGACCGATGATGCGTTGCCACAGATAGTAGATCATATTGCGGATTGTTAAATTTACTCAAATTCAAATATACATATGTATATATGTATAATAGTGCATATACATATAAAAAATGCGGTGTGTTTGGACAAAAAAAATTTTAAATAAAATGAAAAGAAATAAAATAAAATTAAATAAAATAAAATAAAATAAAATAAAATAAAATTAAATAAAATTAAATAAAATAAAATAAAATAAAATAAAATAAAATAAAATAAAATAAAATAAAATAAAATAAAATAAAATAAAATAAAATAAAATAATAAAACATTAAAAACATTTAAAAATAATATAAATTAAAATCTAATAAGAAATGATAAAAAAAATTATAATATTATATAAAAAATGTAATAAAATCAAATAAAATAGACTATAATAAAATTAAATTACTTTAATTTAAATAAATCTAAGTTAATTTGAGAAAGTAGATTTTATGACTATTTGCCGCTGATTAGCACCCAA